TCAAATCCGTTTTTGCCGATAAATTTTCAAGAATGCTTATGATCTGGCCAGGTATTTGCAGCTGAGGACAAAAAACCGAAACGACAGAGATGAAGAGATAAAGGAATTCTGAGGATAATTTCAAGAAGATTCAGGGAAAAAAAGAAATCTGGAGCACTATTCCATGAGCATTTTTGAAGAATACTTCTGGAGTATGCTAAACGAAGGATTACAATTATGTCTGAAAATAATTCCAGGAAAACTTCAAAGGAACTCGGAAAAGAATCCCAGGAGGCTTCTGATGTTTTTTTCCTTGATTTGAATGCTAAATAATTTTTAATTAGAAATCTATGGAATTTGTTACTTCACTGCAAGCGAATTCTTAGGCATCTTGCAAAGTGAGAATGGAAGTCTACTCACTTTGAAAGATGCCTAAGAATTCGCTTGCAGTGTGTTACTTCACATTCCATAGATTTCTCATTAAAAATTGGAGAGGGAGGGAGTAAAATTCAAAGGGCATTATGAAATGAATTCATTGACAATTTTGAGAATAATTCCTAAGAATTTTTTACTAAGGAGGAGTTCAATGTAATTACTAGGTAAATTCCGTAAGTCACTCAGCACATTGTGCCGAAATTAGATTCGGCACAGCTTGGGCACAACCGTCGGCTTACCTTCGGCACAATCTCGTAGGCATTGTATTGTTATAAATAAAATGGGAGCACTGCTGGATATTTGTCATTGAAGTTGTTCACAACATTACGTGCTGTTTGACTGTATATTCAGGAACATCCTCTTATTAAATAGATCAGCAGTTCACTTCTCGGTTCATTTATAGGTCTAAATACGCAATGTAGGTTCTAGAGGGGGCTCAAGAGAAAGAGGCAGTTAATCAGACCCCATTAGCACCCTTAATTAAAATAATGCTGCAATTCACACAAAACAAACTACAGAACCCATATTCATCATCCTCTATATTCGGTCTCTAACAATGTTCCCCACTGGTTCCAACTCTTTCCGGCCGCTGATAAACCGTTGCTTTTCACATCATGAAAGGCTAGATTTCTGGACTGCCTTTGAGGGCATTATAAAACCCTAAAACGGACGTTTATTATGATATGAACCTGCCACTTCTCGCGTCATCCTCAACCCCATTTTCGCATGCGATTTCAAACCAAAACATTCAAGGTGTCAGAAATACCGGGTTGCCGGGATGGGTATTTTACAAACAATCGCAGCTTGCTCTATAACCGTTACAATCGGCACACCTGCGGCACATTGACAAAAAATATGACCCAAGATTGGTGTGCGAAGTTACCTTCCCCTTGGTGGGAAGGGTGATTCCAACGTTATATCAAGGAACGCTTCAAGGGAGTTGCAATCAAGTTCCGATGATATTTTTTTTTGATAATTCAAAGGAGATTTCCAAAGGGATTGTGAGGAGCATTTCAAAGAATTTAGGGGTGCCCTGAGCAAAATTAAAAAAAAAATTCATACAAAAATTTCATAGGAATTTTTGGAGAATACAAAGCGAATGCTGAGGAGAACTTCAAGTGAATTTTCCGGAGAAATTCTTCAGGGAATTCTTAGGTAATACTGCATAAATTATTATTAATTTGAAGAACGTTGCATATTGAATACAAGGAGTATTCTGCAGATGATTTTCATGAGTTTTATGGAGCAAATTATAAGAAAATTCCAGAAAGAGGACAAAGATGAACTCTAAGGGTATTCTGAGATGATTCAAGCATTTTTTAAAGAAAATATTGAAGAAATCTTGTAGAGATAATATAAGATATTGGGCAAAAAGAAAGATTCAATATCCAAATTTTATGTCTAAAGACTAATAGCGAATTCGTTTATTATCGGGGTTGAAATCAGTGCGAAACCGAAGTTTTTGTCAGTGCAAACCTCAACCTGAGCTGGATTTTAAAATCAAACGAGCAGTTTGTAGACAGAAGGTGCAATATGCTTTTATATTGTTTCTTGAAAATTTAATATTTTTACACAACATATTAAAAAAATCAGCGATCAGTTTTTTGCGTTTTTGAGCTATATATTTTTGAATTTTTCTAGTTTTGGGTTTTCGCTGAATACTCCTATGCGACTAGACTACTACTACTACTAGTATAGATAATGCGACCATGTTACAGTCGCTATAAATCAATGGAGACGCATGTTAGTCTAGTCACATAGCAGTATTGAGCAAAAGAAGAAGAAGATCAACGATTTTAAAGTGACCCTGTATTTGGTATTCATTGATAAAAAAAAATCTTTCAACTGACTCAATCACGAGAATCTACGGAGTGCCTAGAGGGAGTTCCGAAAACCTTATTGCTGCGCAGTATGAGACTAACGCTTAGATTTCTGCATAACAAAGGTTTTTCCGCATTTATTCCGAGTAGTGGTGGGGTGGAGACAACTGAGGTATGGATTAGGATCCAGTTTTCGATTGGCTGATTGGTTAATTTTCATGTTAATGATTATTTTTATATGTTTTAAATATGTACAAAATTTCTGTCAGAACTGTTTGTATTTATTAAGTTCTGATAATGTTCAACAGAAACTGTTAATTTGTGATGTTTTTTTTTCACTGTGCATTGTTTTCTGTTGTTTCCTACAACTTTGTCTCAGACATCATTCCGATTAGATGAGCCGTTTCCTGCTGATTTATTGAAAAATATCCAATACGACATTTTGAAAAATTAAGCGAGAGTCAAAATGTCCAAATTCCAGCACAAACTTTGTTTATTGTCCCTAGTGAACAATTATGCGAATATAATTCGGAGGGGTTTAAATTAAATCGATTCGTCAGTTGACGTTAATTTTTCTCAATACTATTGTGATTTCATTTTGAAAAACCCGATGTAGACAAGCGCAGGTACAATATAAACCAATTCCCCTCTCTTCCACTGCCACTAGGATATATTGCAGGCTGAGCTGCTAGGACAGTAACTCCCCGCAGTGTTGCTAGTACTTTCATCAGCACTCACAGTCATTCACTCCAATCAGCCAAGTGTTAAAACCGAATTACAGTCTAAAAAATCCTTATCTGGACCAGGAATCGAACCCACCGCCTGCAACATGTTTTTTTTCGCGGGAAAGCTGAATTTCAATTATAAACAACATAAATTGATACCCAAAGCCACCAATCGTACAAAAAGACAAACCTAACACAAACCCTATTCGTTGAACTGAGAAATATTTTTCCATCAGTTTCCAACTTCCTCCCGGCGGTGACATATCCTTCCCATCCACCTCATTCTCAACGGCCCACCCATCCGACTCTCATGGGTCGCATAAAACCACGACATATCCTCATCATTTACCATCTTCGTCTTGGTCTTATTTTTTTTGTTTTCCTCTTCTCGTTGGGATCAACTCTCCTCCCGAATCCTTCCCATCACAACGATGAACAAAAAAGTATTTTTCATTTTCCTCGGTCCTTTTCTCCCCGTTCCGGTCTCGCTTCTTTGTTTGAAATAACACAATTAAGAAATTGTATATTTTTTCGCCTTGCTCCTTCCGTCGGTCGGACTTCTGTTTCTTGTTTAAGGTAGAACACTTCCACGGTAAACGACTAATCGATCAGATTCGACCCTCTCGAACTTCTGTGAAACTTTGATCGCTATGGACAATTAATTCGAGGTTTTGAATATTTAATATCGAATGGCTGAATTTTACCAAAAATTTCAAAGATTGACCACAGTGAAAGAATGTGCAAAGTTTCATAGAAACCGAAGAGAGTTGAGTTTGAGTTTCGTTTTTTTTTGTTTTCTATTTGTCATGGAAATGCTCTCGGTAGATTTTTGTTCAAGACTGTTTGAGTGAGACTTTTGATTCTAGAAGTTTGACGCATATATGTGTAAAGATGCTTTTGTGTGTTGGTAGCATCAATGGATACTGGAATGAGAAAAATGAAAAATATTTGTCCCATGTGTCGATGGTGATTTTCATCAGACGGTGAGTTCCATACAGTCGTGGCGTAATTTTAGCAGAAGATTTTTTACTAGCTATTTGAAAACAAAAAGTGCTCATCATTATCTTTGATTACACTCTCTTTTTTTTTTAAATTAATTACCGTTTGATCGAAAGATCAAATAAATGTTCTGCTGTCATGCAAATTGTTGACTTCTAAGAAGAAGTAGTATAATCCGAGAACTCGTCCCATTGTCACGGGTTTTGATTCTACCAAATACATGCTTCACTCATAAAACCAATCAACTTGAAACTCATTGAAAATTTGAACCACTCAGATTTTCCTCAATCCACGAGGAAACATCCAACCGAAAATGGCTGATGAAAAGCAAACAGAACACATCTCAATTTCCGCTGCAATGGGTCAGCATTTTTTCAAACGCTTCCTCTCAGTCTCACTCCCCACTTCCACGACACTAGAATAGTGTAGCTATTTGCAGTATCCAACCGCAACGATTTCTTTGTTTTGATTCCGCTTCGGTCTCGGCAAGCACTCCACGGAAATGTTTTGTTCTGCCAAAAATGGGAAATGCCCCCACCACCCACCACACTCTCCCCACAATTCGGCGTTCGCCAGTCACAACAGACAGTGTTCTACTCTAGTTCTTCGAACCAAAACGCGTAGGACGTGTTACGGTGATAGGGCGGCGATAGTGAGTAGCAACTCTGGTGACTGGCACGTTTCCCTGGCAAGGAAGAAAGTGGATTTTAAGTCGAGGAAAACGCTCCATTTCATGCGTTGAAAGTGCAATTTTCACCCTCGATTGAGCCGACGACGATGATGATGATGATGATTATGATGATGGCGGGAGCAGAGAGCGACGTTCCCGTATTGGTAATTGTGATCTAATTCAGTTCGGCGATTGAAACTGGTAGAAGAATGAAAGCAGCAAGGGTGGAGACGAGATATTGATTCATTGCAAAGATTGTTTAATTAAGATTGAGATCCACAACAAAAGATGCTCGACGGGGACGGTCTTGAGATTGATTGATTCGATGATTTCAAATCGGGAACTTGTTTGAACAAAGGATGTTTGTGGCAGGTTGGCATTTCTTTACAATTCTTCAAATTTTTTCTTGCAGTTGTTGATTTGTTCGATCTGGATGAAAAAAAAAATGAATATATATTGAAATCATTTAAAACTCTAACAGTAACTGAATTGGACTAATTGAAGGAAGCAGGCAGTATTAAAATTAATTACTGAAATATATATGGAGTTATGGAACGAATAGCAAACCATGATAAACACAAATACCAACCACAAGTGCATTTCTCGTACCCACTGGATTTATTTCCAGCTATGTATGCGTCATTGTATAAAAGAAATCACGTTTACAAATAATGCAATTGGGAAAATCAAGTGAAAAAATAGCATACGTTGCATATAAATGCTCTTTTACTGCGACATATTCACTGTCCTGCCCATGTTTTTTTGACCTAGGATTTTTTTTTACTATAGTAGGAGTCATATAAGGCGAAATCGAAAATGAGGCATGTAACGAAAATGGGACATTTTTCAAACGCATATTTCTCAAAACTATATATGGGAAATCTGTCATGCAAAATGTTATTCGAAGGAGAAATTATTCAGCAATTTTTTGGTGCATAGTACAAATAGTGGAAATAGTCAAACAACTAAGAAATTTAACGAACACAACTAAAAACCAAACTCGCACAGCTCCAGCCCATGTTCTAACGGCGGAGTTGATCGGAGCTCAGAGTAACGCTATAATGAGAGGAGGCGAAGAATAGCGCCCATAAAAAAACGACTGCCAAATCGCTTCCACCGTCATCACATTCTCTATTTAGCCGTCAAGCTGCTTGGGATTGGGCGATATTCACGGAAAGATCGATCTCGACGGATCGATTTTATTCACGGTACTAGAATCGATCCGTCGATTAAATTGGTAACAAATAATCGATCTTTGCAGGATCGATCTTTTTTGGGGTCTCCCTTAGGTAGCTCAGTCGGTAAATGCGCAGCTACAAAGCAAGATCATGCTGGAGGTGGCTGGGTTCGATTTCCGGTCTGATCTAGGAAATTCTGGGTTGGAAATTTTCGACTTGTTCTTGCCACTCAATTATACAAATGCAAAAATGGTACAGGCATCGAAAACTCCCATCACGCGGTTTTTTCGCAGTGTCGTAGCGTTCATGAGCAATGGATTCGTCGTCGGATGAAGAAGAGATACTTTTGCTAGTTTCGTTAAAAGCAGAGGAAAATGCGTTGAAGTCGGAAATCTGTCATCTGGTCTGCCTGCAACATTTTTCATAGAATTTTAAAGAAAGTTAGACAGACAGACAGACAGACAGACAGACAGACAGACAGACAGACAGATAGACAGACAGACAGACAGACAGACAGACAGACAGACAGACAGACAGACAGACAGACAGACAGACAGACAGACAGACAGACAGACAGACAGACAGACAGACAGACAGACAGACAGACAGACAGACAGACAGACAGACAGACAGACAGACAGACAGACAGACAGACAGACAGACAGACAGACAGACAGACAGACAGACAGACAGACAGACAGACAGACAGACAGACAGACAGACAGACAGACAGACAGACAGACAGACAGACAGACAGACAGACAGACAGACAGACAGACAGACAGACAGACAGACAGACAGACAGACAGACAGACAGACAGACAGACAGACAGACAGACAGACAGACAGACAGACAGACAGACAGACAGACAGACAGACAGACAGACAGACAGACAGACAGACAGACAGACAGACAGACAGACAGACAGACAGACAGACAGACAGACAGACAGACAGACAGACAGACAGACAGACAGACAGACAGACAGACAGACAGACAGACAGACAGACAGACAGACAGACAGACAGACAGACAGACAGACAGACAGACAGACAGACAGACAGACAGACAGACAGACAGACAGACAGACAGACAGACAGACAGACAGACAGACAGACAGACAGACAGACAGACAGACAGACAGACAGACAGACAGACAGACAGACAGACAGACAGACTGCGAATGTGCACTGATGGTATCAAGCTGATGGCAGCAAAGAACCACTACAAGGCCGTTGAACTAATGTTGAAGCAGAAAAAATTGGAGTATTTCTCCCACGATATCGTGGCAGATAAGCCGCTCAAGGTGTTCTCGCGTAAACTGCCCAACATGCGAACCGCTGCGCTGTCGGAGGTACTGAAGGAGCACGGTCTTCGAATTTAATCGGTACGACACCTCCCGTAAGTATCGTGACCAGCTGTATTAGGTCCACCTCGAGCGAAACTCAACGTGTCTCAATGACCTTCAGTGCATTCGGGCCCTTTTCCACATCTTGATTAGTTGGGAACGTTATGAACCGCACAACCGTAACATTACCCTCATTACATTGCTCAAAATTCCTAATGTTTGGGCACTGGACCAAAAATTGCCACATAGCTCATGCAACATGCACATGGCTCAAGCAACATGCACATTTTCCAAAACGTACGGAATTTATGAATACCCGCAAAAGGGCCTCCACGCAAAACCAGCTAGGTCGGCAGAAGGTTCCAGCACGCAACGAGTAGAAATTCCCCGCCATTACCCAATGGCGTCTGATTCCGGTGCTTCCGCCACTTCCACTCAACAACCGTTTTGCTGGTGCTGTATCGGTCTTGCCAACAGCTGGGGTGCATAACACTCCGGTAAACTCAACTCAACCGCTGCATTTCTAAGCACCTCTCCACCTCCGGTGCTATCGTGGCAGCATTTAGGTTAGGTGCTCCCCCTTCACCAGCGATCGAGAATGCACACACTCTGCTTTTAACGGTGGAACTTGCTACACTCGTGACAGAAATCATCATGATCCAGCGCACCTGAAGGACCCAAGCAGAACAGTTTCATGCTGCCATATGCTTCATCAATAAGTATGGACCGTGAAGTCATCAAAATTGTCAAATGGAACGCTTGTTTGAATTCCTCAACGAACGAAACATCGATATCGCCATAATCACCGAAACGCACCTGAAGCCCAAGATTAACGTCTTTCTTCCCGATTTCCGGCTTGTGAGTATGGATCGAACCAGCTGTGGGGGAGGAGGAGTAGCCATCGCTCTAACGCGGAACATCAACTGTCGGCTGCTGCCGAGTTTCCTGCTGAAGTTTATCGAAGCCGTAGGGGGTGGAAGTTTCTACTCCTGTAGGCTCCTTCACCATCGTTACTGCCCCAAACAAGTCAACACCAGGGATGGGTTCGGCAGCAGACCTGCGAATAGTTATTGTCAAGCTAACAGGACGGCGGGAAAACTTCATCATCGCTGGTGACCTGAACGTCAAACATCGTCGACGCAATCAAAACGGCAGCATCCTGAACAACGACCTGCAGGAAGCGCAGTACAACATCTTGAGTCCGCATACTCCCACCCGGTTGAGTCGGTCCATCGATATCTTCATCAACAAAATGGCCAACAACATCTCGCAACCTGTGGTTTACCAAGGACTCAGTTCGGACTACTATCCGGTGGTGGCCGAAGTGGGTTCCTCCGTGAACCGATTCGAAGTTTCCCGACGCAACTATCACCGCGTTGACACCAGTGTCGACTATGACGTCCAGCCGGAAACGACCGACGTCTTCGCTCCATCGATGAAGCGATTTTTGGCACGCTGTATGGAGTGACCAACCCCTTGGATTGACCACTAAAGGCTGACTAAAAGTTAATTGGTACGCACAAAAAAAAACCTGTAATTCGTAATTCGATAAGTTGAAAAAGTCCATTCATGGTTGCTTTACAGTACTTCTATTAAAGTTTCAAATTTACAGCATTAGATGGTTACATTTCTCTAGTTCGAACAAAATCTCGAACTTTCCTCTTGATGGAGCCCATCAGCGCCCGCACAGTGGAAACGGACACGGAATCAGCGCATTTCTTCCATTTTGCTCGCATTTGATGGATGTCCTTGACTGCCCTACCGCTTCATCGAAGTCGCTGCTTTGAAATTGCCCAGTATTTTTCGATTGGCTGAAATTCCGGGCAATTTGGAGGATTCATTAGCTTGAGGAAAAATCGATCTTGTTGGCAGCATACCACTCCAGAACCACATTGGAGTAGTGGCAGCTGGCTAAATCGGGTCAAAAGATGACTTTGCCACTATGCTTGCGGATGAACGGCAATACACGCTTTTTCAGGCATTCTTCGATGTAAACTTGGGATGTCATCGTCGAGGATGTGACGAATGGTTCCGTTTTCAGGCCATAGCTGCAAATCGCTTGCCAAATCATGGCCTTCATCGTGAACTTGTTGGCAAACACAAACTTGAATCTTACCGGCACATCCCCACGTCCAGGCGCAAATGTAAAACTTTTGACCGGGAAGCTGCTTAAAATCGAGTTTGACGTATGTTTTGTCATCGATCAAAGTGCAACCCTTGTGTTTCGTCAAAACACGATCGTACAAGAGCCTTGCACGCTTTTTGGCCATGGAATTCTACTGGCTTTATACGATTTGTATCCTTCCCTGGAAGGATGTTCCGCACCGTTTGAAAGTTGGCGTTGTACCTTCTGGCCACATCTCGGATCGAAAGACCGGGGTTGGCTTTAACGCACCTCAACACCTTGCTGCGCAGCTGACGATCCCTGGTTCCAGTTTTTTCGTAGGTCCGCTGATTCCTTTCCACACTCATGGTTTGCTTGTTGGTTTTGAGCACTCGACAAACTGTTGTTTTCGGCATCTTCAGCACTTTAGCCAACTTGGAACCGGACCACTCAGGATTTTCCAGGTGTTTGTGCACAATATTTTTCTTCTTTCGACTTCCATTTGACGTTATTTCTGAATGCGATCGACTACTTTGATCAAACTTGCACCAGTTGTTCTCTATAGAAGTGTAAACAAACCACTGTCAAAGACTTTCGATTCCCAACACTAGAGGCGTGCTAGCGGCACGCGAGGAGCGTATGAATTAACTTTTAAGCAGCCTTTATTACGGATGTTCTGTATCTTCCGGAGAACGGTCCTATGGCCATCCGAGTCCAAGTTTATGTCACGACCCCAAATTCTTTCTTATATCAATATAATATTTTCTAAAAACTCCAGAGCTCCAGGGTCAGTTTCGTGGATCGACCACGTTTACGGATGTTCTGGATCTTGTCTCCAGGATCAAAAATCAAAATTATATATATATATATATATTCAGCAACTAGTAAAACCTATAAACACATCTTAGAAAAAACGTGCACCGACTCTTTTCGTTGAAGTTGGGGACCCTATTTTCAGTATATTTACAATCAAATTAATCTACAGACTTTTAGAATTCAAGTGTCAAAATTCACCAAGAAATGGCTAAGTGAACAATGACGTATAGCTTAAGATCATCTGCATAAATGAGCTTGCATTTAACTTCCAACAAAGCTGCTACATCGTTGAAGAATAACGTAAACACAAGTGGACCCAGGTTACTTCCCTGAGGCACCCCAGAGGTGCTGGTAAACGTAGAAGAGACACAAGATCCTAGTCGTACTGGAAGAGTTCGTCCAGTCAAGTAGGAATGTAACCACGACCTAAGTTGCTCAGACGCTCCTAGTCGGGAAAGCTTGCATAATAATACTTTCTGGTCGATTTTGTCGAATGCGGCTTTCAGATCAGTATATATGACGTCGACTTGTGCCTTATCCTCCATCCGGTGATGCATTTACTGGTGAAATCCAAAAGGTTAGTAGCTACCGATCTATCGGGAATAAATCCATGCTGGTCAGTTGAAATGTAGTTCTTCGAGCGATTCAGGACAGATTCGCTCAAGATGATCTCAAACAGTTTGGACGCTGCCGAAAGACTGGACTGGTGATACCTCGATAGTTCTTAATATCCCGTTTATTGCCAGCTTTGAAAACAGGAAACATATACGACTGCTTCCACAATGTTGGGAATATTCCTTGCTCAAAAGATGCATTAAATATGGCTGCTAAAGGTTTTTCTAAGGCAGCTGAGCAACGGCAGAACACTACTGCCGGAATTCCATCTGGACCAGGAGAGAGTGAGGTTTTCAGTCTCCTTGCTGCTGAAAGTACTACATATATCCCGAGTTATTTCGAATGTGCTCAGTTCCACTAAGTCACTAGGCATATCAGAGGCAGCAGATTCAGCTTCAACGTTACTTCCCAAGTAAAATTGTAAGTTTTATAGTGGTTTTAAAGCATGCTACAAGTCTAAATCATGGTCTACAGAACCCTCATAAAACCAACATTGTTACTTGGGTTGTCATATTTTCATCGAAGACAGATGCAAAGTTTTTAGCAAACATCTCACACGCTTCGCTAAGAGAAGTGGACTCTTTCCCATCGAGTAGCATGTTGGACGGTATACTCGAATCTTTCCTTTTGTTGTTGCCAAAGCTCCAAAAATTTCGGGGGTTACGCCGCAAATTCCACTGGACTCTGAGGACGTGTGATTTGTACAAGGCACTGTTAAGTTTAATGTAAGCGATACTGGTCACGCTTCGTGTCAGCTGTTCTATGATGACGTAGCTTTCTCTGGACTGCGTTACGCTCACGCTTCAGCACTCTAAGCTGAGGAGTACTCCAAGCTGGGGAAATTGGTCGTCTTTTGAGAGAAACATTTGTTCCAACCAAGGTTGAATATTGCTACAGAAACGCACAGTCAAATCATGAACATCAATGCATTCAAACACATCGGCCCAGTCTTGATCAAAAAGATACTGCAGTAATGAGACATAATCAATTTTCTAGAAGTCTAGAAGCCCTGCTCTATCATCCACGTTGCAAGCTGGGTGAGATGGCCAGTCAAGTGGATAAGGTAGCGCCAGAATTAAGGAAGGATGGTGAGCATCAATAGGTAAAAGCGGCACAGCGGATTCATCGATATCGAAATCATTTTCACTGTTGCAAAATACCAAATCCAGCGTGCGGCCAAGTTCATTTCGGACTGTATTGTGTTGACTGAGATTAACGAAATCCATTCCATCAACGAGAGCAATACTTGCAGCGGTCAGTGAAGATGTTTCGGTGAGGTAGACCCTGTTGTCATCGATTCCCCACTGCAGACGAGGCTGATTATAATCGCCACAAACAAGAATCTTATCATCACAAAATGCCTTGTCGCACAACTCTTTAAGGCAATATGGGCTTCCATAACTTCGACGTCGCGACTTCGGTCGGGTGGGATTACACAGCGCATAAATATAGTCTATAGCCATGTAAGTCCAGTGATACACAGACTTGTTCCAGTCTAGTACCGTGTCTGACATTCGCAAATGAGCTGACATAACGTTGCGTCACAGCTATCAGCACGTCACCAAAGCATGTTTTATCGCTGTTGCGTAAGTTGCGATCATAGCGAAACACGTTGTAGCCAGGTCCAAAAATCTGAGTCAAATTGATTCTATCGTCAAGTCCGCTTTCAATCAATATGATAACGTCATACTCGCAACCAGCAGCAGCCAGGAATAGATCATCAATTTTTGTCCGAATACCTCGTACATTTTGGTAGTACAACCAGATCCGATTTTCAGTCGAACCAGCCGGTTGTTGCTCTTGAAGCGGTGAGGCGCTGGAAGCAACGGACGAATCAAGAGCGGAACTGGTGATGACTCGAACATAGTTGCCTTGAGTTGCGCCCACCCACAGGTCCAGGACGACTGCAGGACGATGACTGGATTAACTCGACTGTGGCGGGAGAGGAAGGGGCTTCCGTAGTGCCAACTTCAATGCGTCCCAGAGTGCTCAGGTGACAGACGGGCGATGGATGGTTGAAGGCAAAGATGGTCAAAGATGCTGGAGCTACGCTAGTCGTTACCGGAGAGCTATGACGGTGAAGTGCATCATTTAAAGCTGCTGAACATCTTTCGTTTGGTAGACCTGGCCATAAATAGGGTAGAGAACTACTTCGGCCTAATCGCCCATTTTAGGCCTATCGAGCAGAAAACTTCAAATAAATCCATGATTTCAGAGTTAACAAGTCAATTAAACGTTTGGTACGATACTTTAGTTAATAAGCTACCGAACGAAATCAATTAGAACGTGTTATATGAAGGTTTGCACCCATTATTCCCAAAAACAAAAGAAGCGCTCCGACTGAATCCATTTTTATCTTCATCCGATAGGCCGAAGTGAATTCAATGGCGTTTCAATTACGTTTCAATGCATTAGGCCAAGTTTAGAATCAGTAGGCCGAGTTTGGCGTCAAGAAGCAGTGTTAGACTGACAATATCTCAACGATTGGTTTCTCTTTATCAAATCTTACGGTACGTAAGGAAAGGTAAATAAATTTGGAAGCCATCAGTAATAATAACATTCCTAAACTGTGCTAGATTAAGAAAGAGTAAGTGCGGGTTGTGCTTAATAGGCTGGAAATGGGGTAGTTAACCCTAGTGCCGCGTTTTGACGAACAGATACATTGGAAACACTGAAACGGTCTGAAAACCTAGGGCTTTTAGAATCAATGCGCTTGGCAGGAAGATAAGAGATGTGGCTTTCCGGATGCTAAAAGTACGGTGTGGATGGTAATCAGCCTCGATCGGCCTAAATGATTTCAGTTATCGTCACACGGTCTAGGTCCTAATGGATGGAATTTGCATCTATAACACAACGATCCAATTCAAATAAACGAGTAACGGATGAAAGATTCTCATGATTATCCGCTAGACTGATTCCTGTAATACGGTGATCATGGTTACTTATGCAACCAAGGCGTGGAATGCTTGAAAGTGCAAGGAGAATGTGCGTCAACATTCAATTAGTTTCCGAAATAGCAGAAATCATCACTTTATATGTGCCTTATAGGTATACAAATAAGAAGTAGATTTTTTTTGCAAAAAATGGATTAGCTCCTTGGTAAGCGAACGAAATCCCAGACGGTATTATATAAACAAACAAATTAAATTTGTCTAGCAAGGATGGTAACAAACTAAAGCTAAATGTTTCTTAAGTATTTTTTAGTATTTCCAGGAAGCTTAGATATCAGTATGAACTTTCTCTGTGCAACGCGAGAAATACATTGTTTAGAGTGGGATTCCCCTAGCAGACATAGATTAAAACGATTTTTTTGCGATGAAAAAAACAGATTGAAAAAAAAAATTGCATTACTATAGCACCAGCTCTGGAGTGAGAAGAGGGATTCTCACTCCGTGTTGCCAGAACCAACAGAGTGCAAGATGTAGTGTTGTCCAGAAAGCATTCGATTTATCATACTAACACAACACTAATTACCTTGAAGTCTAATAAAAAAGCGATCTGCAGCAAAATTTTAGCTGATAAAATTTCACATGAGAATCTATAGCAAGATAATCCGTAAATTATTATGATCAAGGGCTAGAACGATGAGAAAACAAAAAGTTCACTTTTCCCATAGTAATTTCCATATAAATACAGAGGGCCAGTGCAGTATGTAGTTCACATTCAAATAAGCCCAAATTTTAGAGAGATTTATCACAACCTGATTTGGGATCGATTGAGCTTAAGCCAGTAGATAGTCTGACCCCGCCGAAATCATCCACTTACTCACCTCCTCCACCACCCGATCGTACTTCCTCAGCAGCGGCTTATTATCGATGAGTCTACATTCCTTCTCCAGTTCGGAATTCTCCTTCCTGAGCTGCTTCTTCCTCTGCCACAACTCACACAAATACTCCAGATGCTCCTCGTTCGCTCCACGAACCTCGTTCAAAACTTCCGACTTTGTGTGGAGCTCATTTTGAATCGCACACCACTTTTCCCGAACATGCACCACCTTCGATAAGTCACTCTCGTACTGGGACTTAGCCACAGCCACCTGTTTGATTATTTCGTCTATTTTCTCCCCCTTTAGACTAACCTCCACCTGCAGATAGTTGAGGTTTTCCCGACGGATCTTGATTTTGTACCGCTTTTCAAGCTGTTGGTCGCGAGTTTTTAGCAGAGCCTTTTCGTGTAAGTTCGAGAGCAGCTTTTGACGATGTTGACTCAGAACGACTCTGGCTGAGTTCATTTGGTCCAAGAGGGCTTCGATCGCGGCAGGGGATTTTGATTGGCCAGTTTTGTCTACGGTTGAAAATCCTAGCTTGAGAAGTTTTTCCCTGTTTGTTTCCAACGATTTATTGAAATTTGTCACCATTTGAGCGTGTTTGTCCTGTAGAGGTTTCAAAGTTTCCGGGGAAAAGTTGATGTACGATTTACGCGGTGACTGTGACGCAGTATCAAATCGATTATTGCTCATTTTTCGAGTGCTTTGAGAACTCAGTAAATTCCGTGGAATGCTCGACTGCCGTCGAATTCTCGCTTTGGTGCCTGATTCCTCATCAGTTTCCTTCTTCCCTGCCTTTAGCTCTTTGTTTTCGATTTCCAGGCTGCCTTTGGATAACGATTCTGTTGAAAAATTAGCTTCAATCAACTGTCGAACTCATCACATATTTGGATAGAAAACATACTTTTATCGGGCGTATCATCGCCAAAAAGGGCTGTCAGTATGTTAAAGCTTGTAGAAGCTTGAGCTTCAGACGATTCTAGGATGATGGGCATTTCTGAGTTAAAATCAAATGACGTTGAAAATGTCGGCACACACCGTTCTGAGCCTACTTATGAGCAGCAGAAAATAAACAAAACAAATCACGTTCCTCTTCTGGAAATTCCCTCCCATTACACAACCCATAATTAACCACAAATCATCCACATCCCCCTGTCCCCATCGTCCAACGAATGTCCTCACCTAAATGTCCTTGCCAACCGTGGATAAAAACACGTTCATTACGATAACGACAGCTTAATTAAATCACTCCAGAATCGATAAATCATTAAAATGCTCGGGACAAAAACGCTAACCATTACGTAACATATGTTCCCATTAGTGGGACCCTCCTTCCCTACGAGTAGACAACGGCGACCACGCACAAATGAGTCCTTCCTGGCCGGCAGCTTATCTGTCTTATCTATATCGTCGTAACACGTTTCAACCCCGCATGCATAGCGCGTAATGAACGACACCCTCCGGGGCGGCTGACCAGTCCTCCCCCTTCCCCCACCCCATCAAGGATATTCCTTCGTGCTCAGCCGTAAAGTAGGATCAAACGCATCAACGACAGCCATAATGTACGTAATCATGTCCAGCCAGTGAGGCAAAGTGCAAACAACCACTGCTAATGAAAATAGACCAGCGATGGTCGTAAATTATTTCCAGACGAGAGATAATTAGAAGGCGACAACATGTTTTCCCAACAAACGACATACGTTGGTTGGAAGAGCTCAACAAGTAGACTTCATCAAGATGTTGTAGGAAGTGCAGATGATGATGGTGATCAAATTCCGTAGGATGCGAAAGTTTGGCGTCTTTCTTGGAAAATGGTCAGGGCTGTCGGGCTGGAGGAATGTTTCGGTCGACTGGACGTAAGATGAAAGGACTTCCAAGTAGGTGTTTGGTTCACTTGTTTTGGTTAATTTGAATGGACAAGTTGTGAGAATGTAAATTACAGAGCAGGGTTTTTTTTTTATGTATTCTCGTCAATCCAAACATTTGTATGGTGCTTTTTTAATGAATAATGTTGATTTATACAAGGTGTTTGTTTGGTTGCGTTTGATTGCTTTAAAACTTCTCAGGTGAACGGCAACCTGTTTATATTCAGCATAATTTCCATTTAGAGATGGACAAAACAGCTCTGTTTACTGAACGGTTATGAGCCGTTCAGTTCACTGTAAATAACTAGTTCTTTTGAACAGTAGTTCTTCCGGTCCTTTGGAAACTAAATTTTATCATGCGCTTTTAGGTAACTTTTTTTTTCCTATTTAAAATGCGTTTGATTTTTTTTTGTCTGGGATATAAATATACAATATGTATACGTTAAAATAGAGTAAAATTTGCACGTCAATCTATCCATTGGGACAAACTTAACAAATTTCAAAGTTGATACGTGTTTTGAAATGTACCAATAGCGTACCATAGTTACCTTCAAGGATTTTAAACGTACCTCGTTGCCGGAAAACCCGTGTCCCGCTGGATAGACATACGATTTCAGCAATGACCAAGTCGATCGACCAGATTTCTATGGAAATGTAACGTACCAAATTCGTAGTTTACGAATCTGTAATTCACTTTTAACGTATCACTTATTTTCACTTAAATGCTTATACTAATCTTTTTAAATCGATTTATATATGAATTCTGGACACGGAATTGGATTCCTCGGAAAATTTAAGCCCGGTTTCATATAAAAAACATTATACTTAAGTGCAATCTAGCCAATTTGAGGACCAAAAACCGTTATACTAATTTCGAACAAAACCGTTAATTTCATGAATAATTATGGAGACGCACGGTGCTGCATTGAAAACTCCATCATGAGAAATGCCTTGATAACTTTCTGATCGGTAATGACCAACGTACCTAACTAGAATGCACTTTCTGATATAATTTACCAGTGATTAAAAAAAAATAATATTATTAATTTATTAGTATATTTTTCAAGGATGCAAATAAAAAAATAAACTGTTTTTGGTCTTCAAATTGGCTAGAATGCACTTAAGTATAATGTTTTTTTATATGAAATCGAGCTTAAAATTTTCAAGAAATCCAATTCCGTGCCCAGAATTCATATATAAACCGATTTAAAAAGTTTACTATAAGCATTCAAGTGAAAATAAGAGGTACGTTAAAAATGAATGACAGATTCGTAAAGTACGCATTTGGTACGTCACATTTCCGTAGAAATCTGGTCGATCGACTTGGTCATTGCTGAAATCGTATGTCCATCCAGCGGGACACGGGTTTTCCGGGAAGCTTTGAGGTATGTTCAAAATCCTTGAAAGTACGCTATGGTACGCTATTGGTACATTCCAAAACACGTATCAACATTGAAATTCGTTAAGTTTGTCCCGCTGGATAGATTGACGTAAAATTTGCACCAACTAACAGTGTTCACTCGGCTGTCGACAGAAACAGGCCACTCTTGATGTGTGCCACGCGATCGTCTGTTAACTCGGCAGCAACCATTGTGTGGACCTCCTCATTGATCTTCATCAGTAGTTCTAGTAGTAGTAGTTCAATCCGTGCATCGTCGACTTTGGAAAGCAACCGTTTCGTGATGAGTGTGTGAGAGCTGACCACGTTTTGCGTCCATTACTGCAATGGAAGCGCTCTGCCCCCCGTTGGTGATACTGCCATACAACTAAACCACTGCAAGCGGCTCCAGTGTTTATTGTGTTGTACCTTTTGACTATAGTTTTACGATGTTTTGTATAGTTAACAAGAATCCTCGGCTCCGTAAACTTAATTCGATTGAGCCTTATCAAATAAATTAATAAACAACACGCCGACTGACGAAACGATTTTATTTTGCCCTCTCCGAACTCTATGAAACTTCGCGTAATTGTTCGCTAGGAGCAATGAACCAAGTTTGTGCTGAGATTAGGACATTTTGACTCTTTCCTAATTTTTTCAAAATAACGTGTTCGATATTTTCAATGAGTCATAGTAAGAAAACGGTTCATCCAGCAAGCCATATAGAAAAAAATAGGCTTGACCTTCTCCGATTTGCATGAAACATTGCACAATTGATTGTTATGAAAACATTTGTCACATTTGATGATTGTATGATGATATGGAACTACCTCAACTGTCGATAGACTGTGGATAAATGAGAATTTCCTTCCAACTATAGAATCATACAACCGGTCAAAAGACAGGCGATACAACAGGAGGATGCTTCAAATAGTAGGGAGAAGAGCCTGCTCTCTATTCCCGAAATGTTAAAGACAGTGAGTTGAAATTTCGACTCTTCCCATCCATTTCGCTTCAATCGGGTGCCCTGGTGGACCCTCCCCAACCCAGCATTTAGCAATTCATATAATAATATAATATCAATTATATAAAAAAAATTACTTACTTTTATGATGAAGTAACTTACTTACCGAAACTTACTTTTTTTGTCCTTTGTGAAATGCACGCAGAGCTTGTTTCCTTTAATATAAGTACTTAAGCGATTCAAAAGTTCTCTGCTAAAGTATTTTGAGCGTGCATCTTACAATTCGAGTTCCCATTAACTGCGTTCCTATTCTTCTTGGCAGTTTCTTTACTATTTTTTCTTTGTTTTCAATTAACCGAAAGTAAAATTTAACTCAAAATGTATCATGAAATAGATAAGTGAAACCCATAGCATCCATGGGTTTAAAAGGTTTTGGCGTCCTGAACATCATTGCAGAAACCAGCAAATTTGTGGATAGTAAAGATCTCGAGTTATCGAATCAGCATTTACAAAAAAATAATAAGAACACTAGTGTCTAGTGAGAGAATTACGAACTTAATTGTCCACAATTCAAATGGCTTTAGCCTACACACTTAGAAATTTTCGCCGACTTCGGTAATTTTTACCGAAATCTGAACAGCTGAACTGTTCGGTAAAATTTATGCAATTTAATTCAATTGCTTTTCAGTTACTTTTAAACAAAATCTACACTAAAATGACAAGGTTTGATCGTTTAAACAAGGTTGAACATGTTTTGAAATTATTTTGGTAATTTAATGGACTTTAAAATGAAGGTCAAAGTTTTACCGAACGTTCAGCTGTTCTGATTTCGGTAAAATTTACCGAACACGAAAACAAAATCTGTGTGTGTACTGAACAACAATATAAAAAAACAGCAACTTTGTATTTAGCAAAGATCACGAAAGGTCGCGCAGTATTTACACAAAATTTATAAGAACACTTGTGCAACATGGCGAGAAAATTCCGTATACAGCATGTACACGAAATTTATAAGAACACTAGTGAGAATTCCGAACTTAACTGTCATCAATTGAAAATGCCTTTACCTCCTGAACAACATTGTAGAAAACAGCATATTTGTATCTAGAAAGGATCTCGAAATATCGACCTAGCATTTATACGAAATTTATAAGAACGCTATTGCCTGCTAGCGAGAGAATTTCAAACTAAACTGTTAGCACTGCAAAAGGTTTTAGCCTCAAGAACAACAATGCAGAACACAGCAAAGATCTCGATATGTCTACACAGAATTTTCAAGAAATTTATAAGAATACTAGTGCAACCTTCAGAGATTATTTCGAACTGAATTGTACAC